CGATAAATAACCAGTTTTGACCTATGGTGCGGTACAGCTGCATATGTACGCGGGGTAGTGGTAGAAGTACTATTTCAGAATGCTGCCGCTGTAGTCGTTCTAGCAGCACATGACGACGGCAAATTGGTATTTTTTTTTGCCCAAAACATGGTTTTGTACTTCCAATAGTTCTCAGGCCTCGTTGATCGTAGAAACATGATTTTGGTATAAAAATAATTATGAGAAGTTGTACTAAATATTCTTGGAACAGATTTTCGATATCTAATTTTGCCGATTTTATATAATTTTTTAAAAAAATGAAAATATAATACAAACTTCAGATACAAATAAAATTGGTTAGAAAAAAAATTTTAAAATTCTGTTCCAAACATATTTAGTACAACTTCTCGTGATTATTTTGATACCAAAACCATGTTTCTACGATTAACGAGGCCTGAGAACTATTGGAAGTACGAAAGCATGTTTTTCGGTCGATTATTTTCTACTGTGACGGCCTCTTAAGTATTACACTATTATAAAGAAAGTTCTAACCGCAAAATATTACGAGCATGAACAAATTGGTAAATGACGATAAGGTTCAAAACTCGAAGTGTCTACTGATGGCGAAGTGGTGAACAACTCGGAGTCACGGACATCCAATTCCGATTAGCCGTCTTTTAATTTCTAAAAATACAGTGCATGACATCGTCACATTGATAACAATATTTATAAATAATTTATAATATATAATGAATTCTCAATAGACACAATCTGAACGATAACAACCACCAGGATAAAAACCCTGCTCAGTCATACTGCTCGTACATACATTTTTACTTTACATAGTATAATTATAGCAGGGGCGTATTTATGGGGGTGGCTGGGTGGGCTGCAGCCCCCCCTGAAATTTCAAGAAAATCCAAAAAATATGAATGTCAATAAAACTTTATTTGTTGGGTAAAAAAGCTTGAAAATTTAATACAAGGCTCCTGCTATATTGTTACAATAGCAGTTGAAAAATATTAAAAATCCTTAGTCATAGTTTTTTTATAAGCATTTAAAGTTTGAATCTTGACAAAATACGGAAAAATCACAAAACTTAAAATTTTGCTGAATGTTTTCATTTTTTATACACCAAAAAAATTTGAAAATATTTTGCCTCTTTTTGAGCTATTTACGGACATTGACAGTTTTCATTTTTATTAGTTTTTTTTCTATAAATATCAATAAAAATTTTTTTGTTGGGTAAAAAAGCATGAAAATTTAACGAAAGGCTCCTGATATATTGTAACAATATTAGTTGAAAAGTATTAAAAATACATAGGTACAATTTTTTCTTATAATCATTTAAAGTTCGAATTTTGACAAAATTTATCAAATTTAAAATGTAATAAATATTTTGTAATTAAAAATTTATAAAATGTTCAACTTTCATAGTTAAGGATTAAAAATTTAAAACAATGGTCCACGTAAATAGGTAAATATATAAATTACTTTATTTACAATAATATCATCAAATATACTTAGTAGGCTGATATCATAGGCTGACTGGACCGTTTTCGCTTAGAATCGTTTTTCTTATACAATGATATTATATCATTGAATTCAAATTTTACACCATCCATTATAGTGACCCACTTGTAACCTCCTACTGTACAGCAGAGCGACATCCACTTACCCACTTTTTTGTTTTATTGTGAGACTATGTTGATAATTTTGTTCAGCCCCTCCCGAAATAAAATTCTGGATACGCGCCTGAATTATAGTAATCACAGAAACAGAATGATCAACACAAATTGAAATCCATGTGATGATGAATAGAAATTAAAATGTGGAGTTGATTTTGAGACTTTAATAAAACTTCGCATAGTTATTTAATTTTTTTACTTCACATAGGAATTACAAATTTCACTATGCCGGAAGTCCTTATACGATTTTAGTGACTCCGTGCGATGATAAATATAATTTAATTGTGTAGTCAATTTTGAGACCTTTATACAGCTTCACATAGAGATTCATACATTTACATTACAATTTAAATTTTGATAAGCCTACGCAGGGAAGTCCTTTTTGAGATGGGATTTTAGTAATATCCACGGGATAACTAATGGACATAAATTTGAGATCTAAACAGAATATCACGAGGGGCTATATTATGTCCGAAAATATTTCAGCCAAAAATATATTATCAGAAAATAAATTTACGAAAATAGTTTTATCCGAAAAATATTTTAATAGAAACGTATTTTATCCGAAAATTATTAAATACGAAAGTAAAATACACGAAAAATATTTTATCAGAAAATATTATGCACGAAAATAACCAAGCCGAAAATATATTAGTCGAAAATATTTTAACCGAAACGTTTTTTATCCGAAAAATATTTTACCTGAAACTTTTTCTCGACGAAAAATATTTCTTCCGAACCGTATTTTATCCGAAATCAATATTTTTTTTTAATCCAGTGTCACCAAAAAGGTAGACTAATGTGAATTATCTTTTTCTGGCAGCACCAGTTCGCAAACAAGTGTAGCAAATCTGCGCCTTTAAATCACATTCTGTGCCGGGATGGGTTTTTAGATAAAGGTTTATCATCTAAAAACCTTGGACGGTCCACGGACCATCTATTCTTAGTCCGTATTGTGATAGTAACTATCTTTAATTGTATGTACAAAATACAAATTAATAACAAATAACAAATCATGATTATTGATAAAGCGAATTTGAGTATGTTATTTTTACAATTATTGGGAAGAATCTGGATAACTACTTTAATATTCATTAAACTTACCATTTTAATGAAATCTTCATGAAATTCCCTATCGATGAACAATTCCACCAAATATCATTCTCTTATGTATGATTATGTAGGCTATGATTAATTTCACTCGCAAACGCATGGCCACAGTTAAGTTTATAGTTCCATAATGAAACCATAAAGACGATAAAGTTAAGTTCAAACGAATTTGAGACTTGTAATTTGTGTATTATACACGCAGCAATAATACTTAGTTAGTTTTGAAATAGGTAGGAGTGTAGGACTAGAAGCCATTAGGAAATGTACAAAATACCTAACAATTTCCAAAATTGACTGATTGCTAAATATTTAAAATATGCATTTGTAAGATCAATTTAGATAGCAGTAAATAGTAATAAAAAACTAACCAATTATATACAGATTAATATATATATATGCATATCACTGCATTCTATTGCATATTACTATTATTATTTTTTAATTGTTAAGATTATGAAATGAGTCTGATTATATAGGTATGTAGGTACCTGTAATCTGTATTTATATTTTATAAACTGCATATTTTTTACAAAATAAATCTCAGTTAGAAGACTGGAATGGGCAGGACAAGCATGGAGGAAACAAGGGTCAATAATAAAGACCGTAATCGAAAACAACCCACCAGGAAAACAACATTTGGGTAGACCTAAGATGGGAGGATTGTGTTGCTAAAGATGTAGGAAGAATAGAAAGGATAGATGGATATACAGATCGAAGAGAATATACTTGGAAAGCTGGTCTTAAAGGCCGTTACCCATATAAAAAAATAATATATACTCGTATATATTTTTACAATAATTTTATTGATTATCAAATAAAGATTAGGTTTAATATAATATTATATATAATATTATATACCTATTTAAAATATCTAAAAACAAAAACAATTGTTATATTTTTCATACTCAATATCTATGGTATATATCCAAGTTTGGATAGGTAGGTAGTTAATTTTTGAGTAGATTACCATAAATTCAAAGCTCACATTGTAAAAAAAAAATTATACTTGTAAAAAAATAGTAGGTAGGTATTTACTAATTTGTATACCTTGTTGTACCCCACACCCGCATACCTACACATTTCATTTTATAATATAAAGATATTTATTAATTTATACTTCACCGTTTTTAAATAGATATGAGTAATCAATATATTATTATTGAATAATATTAGTCATTAAGTTAATTAGAAAATTAATCAACTAAATAAGAAAAAAGTTTAAAAAAAATTAACATTTTAACTAGTCTTAAAATCAGATCCTGTGCATTATGCTATACTTAGGGCGCGGATTAATATGCATTTGCATATAATATGTTATGGTCGATTGTATGATATGCTACGTGAGCACGATTTAAAAAATGAAATTTTTTTAGTGCATATTTGAGCATTTACCCATTTTTTCTATTTTAAGAACCTATTTAGCCTTATACAAGTTGACTGCCACGAGTTTTTTTGTGAACTTTCCTCTATTGCCATGAGCATCATATTAGGGCCACGCGTTGACTTTCCTCCATTGCCATGAGAGACACATATTGATGCTCAACATTTTTAAATGTTGAAATTGAGCATACATATTATACCTCAGTTTTGTTAATTTTTTTGAATAGAGAATAAAAATCTAAATATATAACTACTTGTAGCATTGGGACTTATGACAGGTATTATTTCATACATTTAAATTAAAATAAATCAAATTTCCATTATTGTATAATTTTTCAACACTTTATTAATATGTTAACACTGTTTTTAATGTATAATGACAAAACATATGACATTAAATTATATAATATTAATATATTTTTATAACTTGTGTTAGTTTTACATACTTAAAACAATTTCTTATACAATTTTTTGAACAAACTATAACATTATAAATATATAAACAATATAAATGTATAAACAATATAAATATAATAACTTAAGTTTTGGTTATTTTTCTTATAAGTCTTTTTGTTACATATATTCAAATCACAATACCTTATTATTACTATATATTATATAAAGATATTAATAGGAATACCTAACAACTTTTTTGTAATCAAAGAATAAAATAACAATGACTAAAATATAAAATAATTAATACCTAGTAATTTTTTTCTTTTGTACCTTTTTTATATTTATACATATTATTATGTAAATAAATAAATGATTTCTTTATAATTCATAGTAAATAAAAAATATAAACAACAAAACAAAAACTGAATATAAACATTATGTTTTAATTCATTTATTCTTTTTTTTAAAATATTTATGATCAGCAAAAAAACACTCAACACAATAAAATCTATCACAGGCTGGACACATTGTTCTCAATTTTTTTGTTTTACTTTGAGCATAAGTTCTACCTTCCTCTAAGACTAGTTTTTGGTAACATATTGCACATCTATTACGTGTAGTTTTTTCAACTATTGAATGCATTTCTAAATTATCATTTTCAGTATCTACTGGTTTGTCTATCATAGATAAAATAATAGATTCTCTAAATTCAGTCCCACTCATATTACAATTATTTACTTTATTATATAATATAAGAGCATTTATAACACTAGTATTCAATAAAACTTCAAACGCTACCTTTCTGTACCATTTCATTGATCGCCTAAGAGGAGTGTGATAAGAAGATCTTAAATCACTCACATCAACTAGACCTTTTCCTCGATTATAGTCCAAAACTACTTCTGGCTTTCCAACTTCAGTTCCTATTTTAGTTTGTATTTGCCTAATATTGTCCTCATGTTTAGTGGATAACATAAGAACATCCCTTTTATCTTTCCATTTCAAAATTAATATTCCTGTATTACTTTTTTGAGCCACAATTTCCCCTTTTTTAAGTTTGTGTTTCACAACATCTTGTGGATTATGCTTTCTATTTGCTCTTAATGTACCAACTAAATTAGTAGTTCTAGATAAAAGTTTGTGAGCTAAATTAATGCTGGTGTACCAATTATCAGTATAAAGGGTACGGCCAAAATCTAAATATTCTTCTGACATTTCCATCACTATTTTAGTTGATACTTCAACTCCAGGCTCTGCTTCTCTACCAGTATAAACTCTAAATCCTATGGTGTATGCATCTTGTATACACAGTTTAAAAATTTTAATACCATATCTGTGGTGCTTGTTTTTTATATATAAACTGGATACTGGATTATGGTTACATAAATGTGGACACCTTGGTGCATCTCCAGATGGACTTATAGGCGAAAATGATGTAGTTGAGGTAAAATGCCCCTATAAATTCAGAAATAATTTGCTATCAGAAGAAATAAGTAAAGACAAAACTTACATTATTTATAAAGAACATACTTCAAGCACAACTCTACTTTACCAGAAGACAAAAATGCATTTTTGTAGTTTGGACACTAAGAGAATCAATCATAGTTCATATATTTAAAGATAACCAATGGCAAAACAATATTGAAATACTTCATAAGTTTTACTTTGAACAATACATTCCATATTATATTATACCAGCATATCAATTATAGTATCATCAACAAACAAAGAATAAAAATCATAAGGACTGTCATTAGTTAAACATTCAATAAGGTCGGGATTTATACCAACAACTTGACCTGTTGGATTATATACTAAATTATTACTTTGCATAATATCACTCCATATTATATTGTTGCCATAATCTTGAACCGTAGATGTAACTCTTATATTTGATCCTTGAAAAACTGGTGTTTGTATTGGTGTTGATGAAGCAGGAGGTTGAGGTGTTTCTTCGTTTGAATCTAATAAGTTGAAATTTGATTCAAAATCACTACCAGAGTTGTTGACTGAGTGTGTAGAATCATCCTAATTATCAACACAAGAATTTATAACAATAGCAACAAACACATCTTTATAAAGTATAAAAATTTAAAATAAAAAAAAATTGTTTATAAAAATTACTTACCAAATCGATTCGAAAATCAGGATCATCATCAGTGTCATCAAAAACCGAGAAACCATCGTCAGAACCAAAATTATCATCATCTGAGTAGTCGAGAACTTCATTTATTTCATCAGGGTTCATAATTCAAGAGTATTATTCGATATCAATTTAGAAAAAAATATTATAATATCAATGACTACACCGCATTAAACTTCATTGAAACTATTTGAAATACGAAAAAACAGTATGTGTTCATAATATTATCACAGAATAATCTATTATATTATTTATGTTTGGTAGAGTTCTATTATTAGTTTCGATATTTTCCATGATAAGAGTATGCCTATATCTTGATGCTCATTAAAAAAATATTATGAATTCGACACTATGGGCCATAAGCATCATATTTGGATCTCACTTTAAATCCACAAACTGTTATCATAGTTAGATTCTACTATCAATTGTATACCAGAAAGTACAAATATATCATAAGTTTATCAAAAAAAATGTCATGGCAACATGGATGAAAAACTTGTATTATTGTGTGGCAATGGAAGAAAAATGGCTGAGCATCAAATATGATGCTCATGGCAGCCAACTTATTAAAACTTAACAAAAATTTTAACTTATTTAAAGTTATAAAACATGCAGCCCATGCAGGTAAGTTAGAATGTCATCTTAGGCGTAAGCCTTTTAACAACTTAGATAAAGCTGTATGGTTTATATTATATTTGAGTATCTGACACTCCATGAACATAAAAACTGATGTAGAGAAGATAGTTTATCAGAAATATTATTGAGTGGAATGAGTGGGTTATGATGTTCTATTTCAGAAACGCACTAAATGCTCACAATAAACATTTATACTAGCTTGATCTACCTTAATATTTATATTGTAACATTGATCAGGAATACCTTCAATACTATAGTTACCTATTATTGTATTCATTCGATATGTTAACGGTATTTTTATCAAGGTGGGTAGTATTTAATACAGGTATCATTATATTGGTTTCATTACGAGCTCTGGTCAGTGGCGGTTTTTTTTTTTTGGGGGGGGGGGGGGGGGTGAAACAAAGATTTTCATAAATAGTTCATACTGTAGCCAAAAAATCCAAAAAATATATGAACACAGTAATTTTATACAAACATTTTAATTTCAAATTTGTACAAAATTACATATCTAGTACCTACTAAAACCAATCATCTTCATTCCTGAATGCATGATTCGCAGCATTATTAGGTATTTAGGTACCTATTTCTTAGTATGTTTTTCTCTACTCTCTTAATATTCTTTCTTAATATTACAGACGTTCTCAAAATCTCAACCATTCCGAATGTGAATGCGACCAAAGATATCAACCCGATGTTTCATGTCCTTTTTAAGCATGACATTAATAATATAAATTATTATAATTAGGTACACGAATTTACGAAAAAATGTTTTAACATAAATAAACAAAAATAACAATAGGTATTACAGTAGTCACTCAATAATTCGAAATTAAGGGGACCGAGTTAAAAATTCGATTTATCGAGTGTTTGAATAATCCGCGATCACTTTTTTTTTGTCGGCTATCGACAAACACGTCTTGTACTTTACGGGACCCATATTGCGACTGACTACGTTTTATTCGATTTCAGAAACGGGTTACCAATATTGCAGAGGTTTATTTTGGTAAAATAATACGATTAAATTTTAGATTAGGTAGGTAAGGTACGATAACATTTATAAATTACGATAATATTTAACCACCGTCGTAATTAGTTTCATTACGAGTACGTCAAATAGGTTGTACATAATCTTTATATGTACATACCTACTTATGAACTTATATAATCGCGTTTAAGTAAATTCGAATTATAGAGGTTCGTGAACAAAAATTCGAATTGTAAAGTGTGTCCCACCGATTTATTGTTGATTTCTTTTAAAACATGATGAATAAATAGTTATTAGTTCAAAAATATCAAATATGTTCTATTTTTTTTTTTTTAGCAATTATTGATATATTTTATCCACAATAATGTCTGCAAATAGTGCTATTAGTATGTTTGCGATATTTGATTATTTTAAATAAAATCCCAAGCAACTAAAAAAAGGAGATCTTTCATTTAATGCTGGATACATTTGTAAAATAGTATACGACTCAACCAATGGATTGATACAAGGTGAAGTAAAATCAGGTATGAAATCAATCCAGTATAAAGTGAAAGTATGCAGTAGATTGTACTCATTATTATTATAGAACTTTTAAATTCTAATAATAGGAAACATTTTTGTATAGGTATTTCTCAATGATGGAGTTATATATGTGACAGTATGTGTACATGCGTCCTAGAGGTTTAGTGATTTGTCATCATATGGTAGCTGTAAGTTTGTTTCCTCATCATAATTGTAGTTCTACTGATAGTATTTGCTCTTGGAATGTGAGAAATAGTACCTAATCTTGAAAATACTAAGACTATTAGTGATTTATACCTGCTTGTTCATATAAAGCTACAATTTGTTTACCTAACAAAAACCAAAAGTAACTTTAAAAAAGCTTTAGAACAGCTAGGTACACCAATTATAGGTATGTCCTGGCTATTGAAACCAGAACCCGATGTTGAAGTGCAATTTCAACAATCATCAGTTGTATTAATTAATGACATAATTGTATCAGACAAGTATAAAATATCAACAACAAAAACACATCTTCTAAAAAATAAACTAAGTGTATCTTCTGAAATTATTTTAAAAGTAGCACAAGAAACAATTGGTCAGTCCAAAAACATTAAATGGATTACATATAAAAAGCACAGACTTACTTCAAGTATGTATGGAAATATACTTGCAGCGTGCTATAAGAAGAAATATAATCCATCACTATTTAAATCATTGAACAATGATTATATCACTACTGGTGTGCGTGCTATTGAGTGGGGACTTAATAATAAAGATGCAGCATTAAGTTTTCTCCAGAAAACGGAAAATGTGGTCATTCAAAAAACTGGATACTGGATTATGGTTACATAAATGTGGACACCTTGGTGCATCTCCAGATGGACTTATAGGCGAAAATGATGTAGTTGAGGTAAAATGCCCCTATAAATTCAGAAATAATTTGCTATCAGAAGAAATAAGTAAAGACAAAACTTACATTATTTATAAAGAACATACTTCAAGCACAACTCTACATTACCAGAAGACAAAAATGCATTTTTGTAGTTTGGACACTAATGGCCGGTTTCACCACGTAGGAGTTAAAGCGCAGATTAGTTAACTCTGAGTTACCCAGTAATCCAGAGTTACCATTTTTTCGGTTTCACCACGGGTTTATGTGTGAGAGTTAGTTAACCTGAGGTTAGCTTACGATTGGCCCATAAATTGGCCTTTTCCGGTGGCCTGTTAATGATAACATTTATTTTTCACTGATAACATTGATAATAAGCCTGATAAAGTTGTTTAAAAGTTTTTAAAATTTGTGTTTTGTCTTTTTTAAATTGGTTTGCGGATATTTTCACATAAAAACATGAACTCAAATGAAGTGAAGAGGTCTAGGAACGTTAATTTTAATAAAAGAGAAGAAGAACTGCTAGTGGAATTAGTGACCACCCACAAGCATGTTCTTGAAAATAAAAAAACCGACGCAGTCATGTGGAAGGAGAAGGAAGCGTGTTGGACAAAACTAGCGTCGGAATTTAATAGTCAATCACTATTAGTTCCACGCACCGTACAACAACTTCAACTGAAGTACAAAAATATAAAAAAATGTGTGAGGAAAAAAAGTGCTTCGATAAGGTAAGTGTGACCAATATTTCAGTTCTGACGATTCATATCTCTCTTCATTATTGATAATTTTCAAACGTGGGCTAGTTAATGAAAATAATTAAAAAATTCAACTCAACTAGTTTAAAGTTCAGCGAGAAAAAAAAATTAACTTAACTCAGTTAAAAAAAAGCAAATTTTTATTTTCAGGCCACAATATTCATAAATCATATATTTTCCTAGTGTTATAATTTACATAAAGATTTACCATGATGTTTAACACTGTGCAGACATAACAAATCACATTTTTAATATGGTACATTATTACCAGAAATGTATTAACAAAAATAATTAACTAATTAATTTAAAAATTTAAAAAAAGTCTTTAAATCTTTAACTTTTTTACAAGTTAATGCCCACCTTTGATAATTTTATTTTGATTAATTCAAGACTGGAACATCTAAAGACAGGCGGTGGCAAAAATGAAGCAAACGCTCTCAGTGATGCCGAACAAAAGGTGAAGGACATGATTCAACTCTCTATTGAAGGCATGCCTTCACAGTTTGACTGTGACTATGAAGTTGATGCCATGCCTCCAGTTCATGAGGATCCCAATGAAGTAGATGGTAAGATCATATTAAGATTGTCCTGTATTTGCCTCCAACCTCAAATATAGGTACCTATATTTATTTTTCAGACAATTTTGTAATGTTTGATGATGACAACGATGACAATTCATACTTTGTGACTGGTAAGATCATGTTACATACTTATATAATATAATAGTAACAATTTAATTAGTTTACTATTTTCTTTTAAATATAATATAAATAAATTGTTTCTAGTTATGCCTAATGAATTTCAATGTGACAAGTCTTCATCATTGACTTCCACAAACATCATAACTAAACCAGGTATGTTTACTAAAGCTTACTATTCTACCCATAGATAACGTTTTTTTAAATTAAATTTTTATATTGAATGACAATATTCTAGAATAGTTATCTATCTAGATACATTTAACTAAATGGGTATAATTTTTATCTAGATAAATTTAGGTATTGCACAACACTGCTAATAAATATATATTGTTACATAATATAATAGTAACAGTTTAATTAGTTTAGTATTTTTTTTAAAATATAATATAAATAAATTGTTTTCAGTTATGCCTAATGAATTTCAATGTGACAAGTCTTCATCATTGACTTCCACAAACATCATTACTAAACCAGGTATATTTACTAAAGCTTAGTATTCTACCCATAGATTAATTTACCCATATTTAACAATTAGCAACTACTAAATCGTAACAGGTATCCATTATAATAGTAAAGATCAAAGATGTATCTACTTCGATAGCATCAATGTTTATTAACATGTATTTATTTCAGGTACAACTATCAGCCAATGGGATGTGGTGACTCCTCAAAAATTGAAATCGAAATTGAGTACTCCACTCAGAACTCCTTACAGTGAGTTAACATAACATATAATTTCCATAATATTGATAACTAGAATTAAGTGATGTTGATGACTTGCATTTTTTTTTCAGGAAAAAAAAAAAGTCGTACTGTCGAGGCAACAAAATTATTACAACATAAAGATGAGCTTACCGAATGGCAGATAAAATGTTTACAGCAAGAGTTTGAAATTAATGAAGTGAAAAAGAGGACTGTTATTTTGGAAGAGCAAAAATTAAAACTAGAAATAGAACTTCTAAAACAAAAATTACAAATGTAAATTTTTTAAATTTTTTCATGTTTTTTACAATATGAATTTGAATTTATTTTGTTAATCATAAAATTAAATACTATAATACTAAAAAAAAAAAGTTAAATCAGTTAAAAGTTTAATAAGTTTTAAATAAAGTTAAATAAGTTTAAATAAAGTTTAAAGTTTAAGTTTATTCTTATAGTAAATTTGCAAAGTGATCATTGATCAGCCTATCTCTCTCTTGCCTTCCTCTTGTTCCTACCAAATTATCAATGTGATTTTCATTAACATCATTAATAAAATTGTTTTCCATCAGCTCATCGTCTGGAAGTTCATCATGCATATCAACACATATGTTATGGAGAACAGCACATGCAACTATAATGGCTTGTGTGTTATTCAAGTTTACTGTTAAACCTTTACTGAGTACAGGGAATCTCCGTTTCATAACACCAAAACATCTACAAAATCACAATGAATAAACGTATTTTCCAAATTTAGCATAGAGCATTTTTGAGTATTTTTTTTTAATATTTACCTTTCTATTACATTTCTTGTCCTAATATGGCTCTCATTATATAATTGCTGGCTTCGTGTGGTAGGGTTGAGCAGAGGAGTCATAAGGTAGGGCTTAACTTCATAGCCACCGTCACCTAAAAGGTAGCCTTTTATGACTCCTGTTTCAAATTTGTGTTTGATATTAGAGTTGTCAAAAATTATTTGATCGTGGCTTGATCCTGGCCATCGCGCCACTATGTCCATAATTTTGAGCCATGGATTGCAAATGCATTGGGTATTGATAGAAAACCAACCTTTCCGGTTTCTAAATACTTCTGCATTATCTCCACCTATACAAATTACGACGAACCATGTTAGAATCAGATAGAACATATAAGATGGCAATAGTATTTATATGTTATGCCTACCTGGTGACTGAATTTTTATGTGGGTGCAATCCACAGCTCCTATCACTCTAGGAAATCTACTGTGGCTGTAAAATCCATTGACTGCCCTATTTCTATCAATCTCATTAGATGGGAATGAAATGAAATTTGGCCTTTGTCTCGCTATGGCTCTGCAGACTTGGTGTACGTATCGACACGCTGAGGATTCACTGACTCCAGTGAAGTCAGCAACACACAACAAAAACGAACCTGTAGCGAGGTACCTCAGCATCATATACAATTTACTTGGAGGTAATATTGCTCTGTTCCTGAAACAAAAAAATAAATATTAGGTAGGTAAAGAAAACAAAATTATTTTATATGGAATTAAAGTCTACTTACCTGGTAGAAGGAGGAGATATTTCATTTTCTATTGATCTCAATATTGTATTAAACGTTGCTTTTGAGATTCGAAATCGAGTAATAAAATCATGGTCATCGTACAGTTCAAGATAGTTGACCCTCTCGTAAAAAGTTTTAGGTCGCCGTTGCATTGCAATAACTTCGTCATCAATCGCGTTTTCGTTATCAAATATTATTCTACGGTACATAATTAAAACGTCAAAAACTTCACAATAAATTCAAACAAAAACGAACAGACTTTTCAATTTTCATCAAAGCACAGAAGGCAAAAGAAAAATGAAAAGAAAACGTGTTTATACAACAACCACTATCAATGGTTGTTTGTATCACGGTAAATCGTGAATGTAACTAAGAGTTAGCTCTTAACACTCAGAAATATTGGGGGTTAAAATCTGGGAGTAAAGATTTTCATTAACTTGGAGTTACCATCTAACTCGAGGTCGTGAAATACGTTTTTATCGCTAACTCCGAGTTACCGGTTACTCGCACTTTAACTCTAGGTGGTGAAACCGGCCATAAGAGAATCAATCATAGTTCATATATTTAAAGATAACCAATGGCAAAACAATATTGAAATACTTCATAAGTTTTACTTTGAACAATACATTCCATATTATATTATATCAAATAAAATAATATAGCTTTATTCAAAATATTTTTAACAAATAATTTATTGTAAACATTAAATATTTCCTTCAGTTAATGCTTTTAATTATTAAAAAATAAACCTACATGAAAATAAAATATAAAATCAGTATTCACTATTCAGTAATAATACCAATTGTTGTTCCATTAGTCATTACTCATTACATTTACATATAATGGAATAAGGAGCATAAGGGATAACCATAAACCCATAGGCGGCAACTAGGGGGGGGGCATGAGGGTGCAGTTGCACCCACGACAAATTTTCTGGGGGGCAAAAGTATCATTTTGCACCCACACACAGACAATCACAACAGTAAAAAATATTTTAATTATTTTACTGTTAACAATTATACTGATATAATGTAATTTTGATATTAAAAAATAACCATGGATCATTTCAATATTTTATATCTGATTACTCAATTAATTAGTTAATTAAATAATTAATTAATTATACGGACTAAAATCTTAGTCCGTGATTAAATGTTAAAATACTAATAATAATAATTAAATAATGCAGTAAGCTAATTAAGCTATAAGAAGTTTTGAAGAATTGAGAACAGATGACAATTTTCAGAAAGTATGGGAAAAGGCTAC